TACTTGGCCAACACAACAGTAAATATAATTATAACAAGTTCTCCCAATCCGCTTCCACAAGAAATCTATAGAGGGGGTTAAAAACATTGTTTCGAAAAATATCTAAATATATATATTCGATGACGATATATTCGATATATATATATATCATAATGTTTTATGCAAAAGAAGTGCTTATACACAAATACACAGAAAAATGTATATGAAATCCGACTTTAAAATATATTTATATAATGTAATGAATAAAATAGTACTAATTATTGAAATGTATTGAGAATAAGATTAAAATATTGCAATAGGTTCTTTTTCGTAACTATTTTAGAAGCGGTAATAATTTTACGTACACAAATTAGTGTACTCTTGTACTTTAATATAAAAATTAAGTTATCAGTATTATTTTACTGTTTCCAAATTACATAAATATGAATATATATATATATATATATCATATTTCTTAGAATAAAATATAATACTGAAAACAATTCAGCATATTGTTAAGCACACATTGAGTACAAAATTATAAAATCTCACATAGGCTATACTTTGCAACTGTGCGTATTTTATTTTTAGGGAAAAGAACGTCTTCCTTTGCAAAGAGTAACATTTTAAAGTAACATTTGTGTAAAAAAACACTAAAATAAAACTTATAATAATTCAAAGTACATAATTTTTCACTAGCTTATTACAATATTCCAGTAAGAAGGTTGTATAATAACATTTCAACTATATATCATTTGTAATATGCCGCTTTTCCTTAAAAGCGGATTTTTTTCTTCCCAAAGGAGAGAATATGGTATTGCATTTTGTATTTAAGGGCGAAGCTACTAAGGATATCTGCTGCCGTTCTTAGTTTAAACTACTGACCAGAGGGAAAGCAGCCAATCAGCAACACCCCGTCCATCCACCATCAAATTGAGGAATTGACTGTCCCTCCTAGAATACACCTACAGTTTATAAGATGGGAAAATATTTTCTGGTATTGCGCAAATTCGAACTCAGTTCACTGCTCCGAAATCCAGAGCTTCATCACAGAGTCAATCCACGACCAGAACTGGTTATAAATGAGTAAGAGTTATTACATGTATATGCGTGTGTGTGTGTGTGTAAAGAAAAATAAACAAAATCTACCGGACAATAAAATTAAGAAAATAAATTTCCTACACTTAAAGGAAAGAACAAGTTATTTCATATCCTTTAGAAATTGAACAGAGCAGCTTAATTTTTTTATTATGAATGTCAAAAACGTTTTATAATTTGGTTTTATAGCACATCTTTTATAATCAAAATAATACATTGTGTAAACGTTATCTTAAACTTATCAATTATATGTATCTATACTACTTTATATAAATAAACATTGCGTTTCTCCGAAATCACATTTTTCGCTTTAAAATGTAAAGAACACAAAGGAATTGGATTGAATTTTAGACACATTCTCAACATATCAAGTAAAAGTAAATAATTTATTAGGAACTCAACAGGTTGGCTAGACTACGGTACACAAAATCTCAACAAAAATAACTGGTTATTTAACACTGCAATAACCAACTTAGAATATATCTGTAGTAAGATATTCTTGGTAATTTTCTAAATGTTCATGTAAGTGTTCTGCATATAGCTAATGAAATTATTGTAAATTAAATTTCATAAGAATGTAAACATATACGAAACCTTTTGCTTAAGTTAAGGTTACATGCGGCAATGCTTCCCATAGAAGTTTGTAACAGTTTCGAATTCGATGACGAGGAACCCACTTTGAGACTAATAATGGTTTGTGACGGCTTGAATGAGTAATGAAGAAATACTTTAATATCAGTTTAACATAACATCGTACCTGATGATAACAAAACGTTGTCGAAACGTTGTACATTTGCTGTTATGTTAAACTTATATTAAAGTTTTTCTTCATTACCCATTCAAGCCGTTTCCAACCATTATTTGTAACAGTTTGATTACTACTCCTTGGGGTGAGACAAGCCCATCTCAAGGAGTGACAGATATACTTTTAAAGATTGGTGTGAATTGAGAGTTCTCTCTGTTGAATATTTCATTTTGAATAGTCGTTGACGTAGGTAATCTATGGATTATAAGATATCACACTCGGACCTCTTTCTTTCTTTCAGTTGAAAGTGAGGTATAGCATTATTTTCACTGTTCTTGTCCTGTGTAGATGTAGTTGAAAATTCTTTGCCAGCCCCATCAGCTAGTTTGAATACCAGCTAACAAAAGATATATTTTAACAAAGACATTTTTGTTGTGAATGAATGTTTTAACTTATCTGTCGGACATCGGTGTGCCTGAACATTATTTGTATTCATCATTTTGAGACAAGAAGTCTTAAGGTGTAGAATGTCTTATCTGACGGGGAACAACATTGTGTGATACAATAGCATGATAAGACTGATAATAATGTATATCATATTATTTTTACGAGCCCAATACTTTGCTGTAAGGAGAGTATATAACAGAACGACTTCTATAAACCAAGTTCCAACCAAGAATTTGTATGCTATGACCTGGCGTGATATAAATTATTTTCAAACCTAGTGTGTTTCATTATATTACTTGCATGCATACCCATTACTTCTAATAGTTACATATTATTATGATTACCTGACTTATCTTAATCATTCTGTGAATAGTGCTTCGAGTTTGACGCCGAAAACAACTGTAAAAGTTTTGTAATCACTTACTATAAGTTCCCCAGCGAGTCAGCGGTGAGCTTACGACTAATAACGCTAAAATCCGGGGGACGATTCCACATTGTAGACAGAGCGCAATATAGCCCTATTGTGTAGCTTTGCCCTAAATACGTTCGCCCTGTCAACTGTGGGGGCGTTATAATGTGACGGTCAATCCAACTAGCTGCTTTTCCTCTAGTCTATAACTGTTAAATTAGGGACGGCTAGCGCATATAGCCTGTGTATATCTTTGCGCAAAATTCAAAAACAAACAAACTTGGCAATGAAACAACCAAACACTATAAAATAAAGTAACAAAGCTGTTCTTTTTTGAAACGAAATGTTTATCCTACAAACGATTAACTGATCAATTACTTTAAATAATCCATTAATTTTACGTATACTGAAAAATCCGGCGGAATTTGAGAGATTTTCCCCAAAATAGGAAGATCGAGTTTACAACACTTGTTCCGATTTTAGTGTGAGTATGATGTCATTCCCGTTTAAAGATACAACTTAAAATAATTAATGTTTTTTTATAAATGTACATAAATCAAATGACCTGAATCTCCTGGTAGATGCAAATTTTTCATAGTAGTTTGAAATTTCGAGAGTTTACTGTCCTCATAAAAAAAAACTATTTTATATCTTGATATTTTGGTTTTTAGTTTTCTTCAGGATATATAGCTCATAAAGCCAACAATTCGAACGAATAAAGAATTGAAATTATTTCATTTATATAAAAGATATTTGGCAGTATACTTTGTTCAGCATTGAATATTTTAAGAATCAGTGGAACATGTCGGGCGCGGTGTAACAGTAAGTAGAACGAAAGGTTCAAGATATTACCCACTCTGTTACCTTACGGTCCGGCATGGCCTGGTGGTTAGGGCGCTCGACTCGCAACCTGAGAGTCGCGGGTTCGAATCCCCCGTCACACCAAACATGCTCGCCCTTTCAGCCGTGGGGGCATTATAATGTGACGATCAATCCAACTATTCGTTGGTAAAAG